GAAATTCAAAATGGCGGCCGGTAAGTTAATCAACCAATCAGAATGTTCGAGTGAATCACTCGACCAATCAGAAATTTACCGACCGCCATTTTGAATTTCGAATCGAGAACAAGGTCTAACAGACTTCGTGCCCAGGGGTATTTTTTCTGGGAGTGAGGAACGAACGACAGAAGATAACCCCTGGGTTCCCGAGGATGAACTTTAGCAGTTACTAAATTAAATATTTCTGGATCTAACATCCATTCAGTTCGATCATTGAACTGCCTAGATTCAGAATCTGCTTCAGTGTTCTTACATCCTGGTAGATGCGTTGCACTTAGCCACAAATTGTTTGCTATACAATAGCTCCAAATATCCCTTGCAACTGAATTGCATTCAAAGGATCTAGAGCCCCCCATACTATTGATGTAACAAACTGCTGTTGTATTATCACACTCAACTCGAATGTGACCTCCTGAGCAATGTGCACACAAAGATTTGATGGTAAGTAGAATGGCTAGAAGTTCTAAGTAGTTGATATGATGTAGTGCTTCTTCCTCACTCCATCTGCCTCCAGTTCTCTRATCACCTCTCACCCCTCCCCAACCTTGAGTTGAGGCATCCGTTTGTATGGTGATGTCTGGCTCTCCGTGAGAGAACAGTTTAGAGGAGGAAGGCACACTACCAATCCTTCACTTTAAGTCTGATCTAGATTKCTCAGATAGAGTTACAGGACCTGAAAATTCTCCTTTGTTCTCCCTGAGGGCCTGAGTTTTGTTTCGTTCGAGGCTACGATAGTGCAGAGGGCCATACTCAACCCCAGGGAAACTTGAAACCATCAACCCTATCACTTCTGCTAGGTTCTGTATTGAWCTATGGCTTTTCTTAAGCATTTTTTCACAAGCTAGTTTCAATTTTGTAACCCGAGAGTCTGTGAGTTTCWCTGTCATGTCAAGGGAGTTCAACTCAAACCCAAGGTAGGTTAATCTTTGGGATGGGGTTAGCATAGATTTTTCCTCATGAATGCAAAATCCAAGCMTTCTAAGAAGTGATACAGTTTGAGTGGCATTATCAAGGCATTCTCTATATGAGTCTCCTTGTAGGTAGCAATCATCTATGWATGATGAGGATAAAAACCCTTTCTGTCTTAAAACTGTAAAAACTGGCTTTAGGAGTTTTGTGAAAACTCTTGGAGCTGATGCCAGCCCATTTGGCAAGCAGGTAAATTGATATAATTTATCCCTCYATGAAAACTTCAAAAAAATTTGATGTTCTCTAGCGATTGGGACTGTGTAGTAAGCATCTTTGATATCTGCTGATGCCATGAAGCAGCCCTGAGTCATTAGGTCTGTGACTGATTTCAGAGAATCCATCTTAAAATGTTTGTACACAACAAATTTGTTTAATTTTTTGAGATTAAGTATCATGCGGTAGTCAACCCCATTCTTTTTCAGTCTCAAAAATATTGGAGAGATAAATTCTCCTTCTGAGTGGGTTGATTGTATGACTACACCTTTGTCAATAAGCTTTTGGATCTCAAGATCCAAGATTTTTGTTTCCACCTGATTGAATCTAATGACTCTGGGCTCTCCAACTWGGGTTGGAGGTTCATTATCTACAAATTCAATATGTAGATGCTCTACCCAGTCAAGAATTTCCTTATCAGAAGTTATTTCTTTCCATGCAGGGATGAAATTTTTCAATTTACCTGCCTGAAATGAATAATTGTCAATGTTTACCTCATTTGAGGGGCATTTAGGCCCTACTTTTGCCTCTTCCCCTCTTCTTTGTTCTTGAGGCTGGGCCTTTTCCAGTTTAAATTGCTCTTGTAGCTGTTGGAACGTGAGTATTGGTCTCGTTTATATCCAAATCCTCTTTTTGAAGACTTGAAGTTTCTGTAGTTTGACCCTTTACG